CCGGGCGCTTGCCTGCGAGCCCCAACCCGGGCCTGGCTCCAGGGTGGGGCCCCGGTGACGTCAATCCGGGCGACGTAAACCTCTTTGATTTTGTTGTTTTCTTCATGGGGGGGGACAGGGGGGGTTGAACCGCTATTTGTCTTATCCGTCGCCTAGGACCTGTTTGCCTTGGGAGACCCTACCAGGGGCATTAAGCCCCCCCGACAACATAGCTCCTAGGTTCATTTGGATACTCAAACCCCTCCACCACGTGAAGGTTGCGATTCAAGGAGGGGCTTTTGTCCCGTAGTTTGAAACTAACCTTTAGGATCAGGCAGAGCATAGAAAACGCTGTTCTTCACCTACTACTGGCTCTAGCTTGGCGTCGACTTTCAGTTCACATACGACCCCTTGAGGTGAGGCAGAGTACTATTTGCCTCCCCTGCTGACTTTTCGCTACACTTTATTGGCTGGAACAGAAACGGGTCCACGTCATGTGACCCATTTTGATTGGATAGCGTAGTCAGAAGTAAGGCACAGCTCATGAGTGCCTCACCTGGGACTGTTTGCCTCCCCTGCTGACTTTTCTCTACACTTGGCTGGAACAGAAACGGGCCCGCGTCATGTGACCCAGTTTGATTGGATCGCGCAGTCAGAATAGAATAATAATAATAATTATTATAGAAGAGAGGCACAGCTCGTTGGTGCCTCACCCGGGACTTCTGCGCTTTGATTTGAATGCGAAACACTCGAATTCGGCGATTTTTAGGGGAGGCAGTGCAGGTGAGGCACTGCCTCCCCTGACCGCACGTCACTGCTATAGTATGTTACTACTGTAATGCCTCAAAAGTGACAAACAATTGCATCTGAGCAGACGATTACTGACCACAGTGAAGTTTTGGTTTGAATCGAGCACAACATGAGAGGTTGACGGCAGTAGCTCCAAACCCTTGACTGCCTCAGGGAGGCCCAAGTAAACGCCTACACACAGAAAGACATCTCCTTAAACAAACTTTACAAAGACACACTCACAGGCGTCAGTGCACATTTACAGAAAGATGGACAAATGCAATGTTCCCTCTAAGCTGCGCGCATGCGCAATTGCGCACTGCTCGAACATTCTCAGTGCACAAGAAAATCTGTCCAGCGCGTAAAATAAAAATCAACATAAACTGTGTTGTAGGTATTAATTTTGTTAACAATTGATCCAAAAAAAAGGTGTCCAGCCAATGATACGAGATGGTTCACATACTCTACGCAGCCAATCATACCATTGACAATGCTTGCATATGTACCCTGCCCATGCCCATTACTGTGGCGCTGTGCAGGTTAGCTAGGTAACAACGGTGCAGCGGAATCAAAAGGCGTAAATGCTAAATTCGAACGGACAGCGAATAAATAATAATTGCGATTGTTTTGAGATGAAATGGCCGTTGGAGTATGTTCTTTTTCGAGTAAGAAAGGTCTGCTTTGAAAAACATGCAGCAAAGCCAAAGTAGCAAACGAGTTTGCCATCAACAGGCGTGTAAAATAAGGTCAAATTTAAACTAGATTTGTGCATTTTCTAGTGACATTTCTTAAGATTTTTCATTTAAGGATATTTTTGCATATGTCTCATTTCCTCCAGAGCAAGACCCTCACCCAGACCACAACTGGGACTGAAATTGCTGCTTTGATTTAATTCTATTAATAATCCAATGTAACTTGATGAGATCGAGGTTTTGAAAAAGTGTGATACTGGTGTGTGGCCACAGCGTTTACTACTCAGCGGTCCTCAGTGTGCTCAGAGAGCTTGTGTGTATGCCCAGACACATGAAAAATTAGAGGGAACATTGGACAAATGCATATCTCACCTACCTAGTATGAATACTAAGCGATGACAGAGACATCCTCCTTGTCCTCGGAATGACGCCATCAGAATTCTGAACAAAAGCAACAGAGACAACAAAAGACATAAGACAGTATTCTTACAGAACACAAGGGATGGAAATTGATAAGTATTACTATTCCATTGCTGTTTTATTTTCGATGCCGCCTACCTAACATCCATCTGGTCTGTCTGAGTATAGGGTTGTTTGCATTAAATCTTGACGTAAAGCCAGGGTGTCAAATGCAATCATTCAAGTAGCCTAAACGTAAAACACAGTCTGAGTTGCAGGCCAAACAAAAATAAATAAATGTATTGAACATTGTTAGTGAAGAGTGCTGATAATGCTTTAACCAGAGATATTGATTATTGCATTCTGGAAGATGTAGTTTATAGTTCGTTTAAAATTGAATTAGAATTGGTAATTGTAAATTACCGGCCATATGTTATATACACATTAAACTTGACCACTACATTTTACCTACTCCGTAAACACCAATATAGCCTCTACTGTATATATCAATTTAGATTTTAAAATAAACCATACGCAAGTTAAACTCAGTGGTGTACCATGAAAGCCAACCAAGCTTTATCTGCAGGCGTAAAGAATATCAGAACCTATTTTCAATATACAGTCTGGTTGCATTGGTTCCAGTTGTCGTATTCCAGCCTCATATGTTGCCAGATTGAAAGTAATCTGCCCTAAAGTCTTCCGAATCAGCAGTGCAGACACTGGGAGCCTAAAATGAATGAAAGTGTTTCTTTGACCAAACCGATCTTAAGTTGACCTCTTTCGCTTAATTGCCACGTTGTTAACCTGTTGTGCCAAACTCCTGGCCTGGGGACAATGGACTATGACTGTGTAATAAACCTAAATAAAATCAAGGCACTGCAATTGCAAAAATTAATATTAATGTTTCAAAGAATGAAACAATTACAAAATGATGAACATATTTATTTAGCACATTTCGAACAATGCACAATATAAAATATAATAAAATTCAAGATAAAATGTTAAACTTGAGACCCCAGGCCTACTGACCTTGCTGAAAGATTGTAAAATTAAATATGTTCTATCATAAAAACACAACGTGCATTTAAGTTAATTGCTGGATTATTTCTCGCGCGCGCCGCTTTATTCATGCAAGTAACGAGCTTTATAGCGCATATCAAGTACAGTCGCGATGCAGAGGATCCTGACAGATCTCAGAGAAACGTGTGCTATGAGTGTACTTCTCATCTGTTCTATCATAAAAACACAAAGTGCATTTAAGTTAATTGCTGGATCATGCAAGTAATGAGCTTTATAGCGCACATCAAGTACAGTCGCGATGCAGAGGATCCTAACAGCTGCTCAAACGAGGCAAGAAAAGAGAGAGAATGTTCTCTATTAGGACCCACTGGTGTGAGATGAATGTCGCGGGGAGCTCCTGGTCTGCGCTGTATGCAGCCAAGACTTGCTTTTGAGCAACAAAGCTTTCCTTTCCCCTCATATTCAGCATAGTGATCGGGTTGTGTGGATTTCAGGTGATGCACCCCCTTTTGAAATTTCACCATTAAAGGTTTTGCAAATTGGCCGTGTTGTTTCGGTAATAAAAGTCTATTTTAGAGAATCTGTAATTTCAACCATTAAGCAAGCAGACTAACAAACGTTTCACGACACCAAACCATTAGGAGTCGGTTCTACGAAAAAACTGGCTCTCAAATGTCTCTCAAAGTCATTTTTTTCAAGTACGTATACTTTTTTAGTGCAAGAATTTTGTTGAACTAAAACAAGAGCCTCCGTTAAATGAAAGTATTAAAATTGGAAAAGGAAAAACATTTGGTTTGTTTATTTAATACAACTACTACTTCTTTGTGTGGTGAATGAATCTCTGTGAGTTCCCCCACTTCTACAGTTTGTGGTACTTCTGATGGTTCAGAAACTCATTCCTTTGGCCGTGGCTTCTGTCCAATCACAGCACAGTCATGGCAGAACATCAACATTGGCCATCGGGCCAGAGCAGCCGTTTTAAAAAAAACAAAAACACCCAGGTATTTCCTGTGGTTAGGGTTACAGCCCATCACAGCACAACTTTTCAACAAGTTGTGAAACCGATGATGTCAAATGCCTAGCTGTCTATTGGTGACTGCAAATCAGTTCCATCAAATAAGACAGGGACAGTGACCTCCGACCTGCAGATAGTTGGAGTCAGAGTAGAAGATGCAGAGAACAGGGAGAGGATGGAAAACAATGAGTCGCTGTGGCAACCCCTGAAAAAGGGACAAAGCCGAAAGAAGAAAAAGAAGAAATGTGTATGATGCTGCTCCCTTTGTAAAAATACCTTTTACAATTAGAAATGTTTGATCGTTTTACTTTAAATCACTATTAGCTTGTAATTAAACTCTACATTTTTTTGGTTCTTAAATATTAGTAAAAACGTATGATACACAATTTTGATATATATATATCAAATCAATCAAGCTAGTGGAAGTCTTCACATCCCTTGAAGCCCAGGCCAGAGGAGTAGGAATTCTGGCTGTTTTAATACTAACTTTTGATGGTAATTGGCTTGACGCTGGGTTTTAGCCACACCTAGCACTTCAACACGCGTGCCCCCCAGGGGGGCCCGCCCCACTATTTGAGAAGAACTGACTTACCCTGTGCAGCCTAGGAATAAAGAAGATCCATGCACGCAGTACTGTTCGCAGGCCAAAGACCTGTATCCTGTACCTGGACAGACAGACGGATCATTCAGAAAAATTAATTTATGTTCGTACAGCCTACAGCTAATAAAAAATTGACTAAAGGAAATAAGAAAAGTTGTAAATATTTTTGAAATCCTGCTCCTAGCCTGTTGAAGAACATTAATAAATAGGACAATGCATATATTAAAGATATATTAGAAACAAAATATATCGCTTTGCTTTCAAAATCTAGACTAGTGTCTACCATGTCAACAAAGGAGGCAGAGCTTTCAGTTACGCTTGGAGAACCAGCGGCACTCGTGGTTTCGGGACATTCTTTCACACAACAAATAGGGTTGACTTGAGTAAACCTGTGGTCTTCCTAAGGTACGTATGTTGCCGTAGACCTAGACTTCTGAGGAAACTCCCATGGTGCGCACTGAAATCTCTCTTCTTCTCAAACTTAATATACACATCAAATTATCTCATCTTTATTACAGCAGTTTATGTGGAGTACTTGAATGCAGTGTTGATGTATCTCTCTCTACTCACGTCTTCACAC